TTAATTTCAGTATTATCTGCATCAATTTTTTTTAAAAGAAAACAAAGAATTATCTGTACCAGTGCTGGTATATCGTTTTATTCTTAGTTGCTGACTTTTCAGCACTTCAAATCTGTCTTCACTTGTCTTTTGTTTATTTAAGGGACATAAGCATCATGGACTTAGTTGTGTAGTCTGCCCACATTTGTAATGTTCATTCTCTTTTGGATCGGAGTTCCCTAAATTGTGCATTTTGTCATGCTGAGGCACATGTTTTATATGATGAATGGCTCAGATGATCGCTAAGAACATAGCAAATCACTAAGAGCATCCTCAAGCTGGTATTTCACTGAAGCTGATTCATTAATTTGCCTGCAGGTTTCAACAAAATATGGCTACATATCAGAACTTGATTACCCAGTCAATGTATGATAAACAGCTAGATAGTGGAAGGGGTACTCTTCTCCATTTGTGCGATGATGTGATTCAGCAAGAAGTATGTAGCTTCTGTCTTCTTTCTCCCTTCAATTGCTTTTTCATTCTTTCATGAATTTCCTGTAATTTTATTACCCTACCTCCTTCCCCAGGAAAACAAAGGACTATAAAACTGAAAATAAGCTTTTCTTTTTCATTTCTGTTGGTGATCGGGATTTATATGATAGACTAACGATACAATTATGAAGTCAAAGAAATAGAAAAGGAAGATATTTATGATGCTGGTGTGCCATTATAGGAAATTTAGAAATGTTTGCATATACTCTCAGGGTTCCCACTTTTAATAAATATTATCGGTTGGTAATTTGGAGACTGCATTTCGTTACTGAATGTAGCTACTGATTCTGATACAATGTTCTTGAGTAGTTGAACAAGTTACAGCTGGTGCTTATGGTGTCCATGTCAAATTTGCAGGTAAAGGAAGTTATTATTTCATTTTTCATTTTGATGGAACAGGGTAAAGCTACTTTGCAGGTATATGACACATGTATCTCTCTGTGCATGTTTGGCATTCATATGAATCTTATCTGGTGATTTTCTTTGATGCATGCTTCCATGGTGTCCCTCAATTACTGTGTTACTAAGATAATCTTCCATTATTCTGAGGATTGTATAGGATCTTGATCTGCGGTGCGAGGAATTACTAAAAGAAGAGTTTGGTGTAAGCTGTAATTTTGATGTAGATGATGCTGTTCAGAAACTAGATAAATTAGGCATTGTTGCTCGGGTAAGAATGATCTTCTGTCTTAGCCTTTTACTTTTTTGTTCTTTTCCTTGACCTAGTAAATATGTTTTCTTGCAAACTTGTCTTGCTGCCAGATATTTAGATATAGGCACTAATATGGGAAAAAACATAAAATATAAAGAACAGGACTAAACCACTGGAAAGGAGTTTATGGGTCTCTGGATTTAGACGATGCTAAACTCGGCCAAGCCATTTGTTTCTTATTGCTCGTTCATTTCGTTGCTGACTAGATGATCCTTACCTCACACCATCTATATACCTTCTAAAAGAAAGTTAAGCGCTTTTAAATTGTCCATGTTTTAAGCGTCATCCTTTGGAATGGCAAGATTGAGCTAGTTGGTAAGACCCCTATCAAGAAAAGAAAAAAAGGGATCTTTCCAGGAATCTTTAAGTTACTCCAGCTTTTAAACCACTGATTTAGAAGTCTGAAAACTTGAGAGATATTCCTTTTGGTCATTAGAAGCATTAAACCAAGATGTCTCCACAGGTAGGTAGAAGAAGAGAGACTAATACTTAGCCTTCTTTTACAATTACCGGGTTGAAACAATTCACTTAGTTTCTAGCACATGAGCATTCTCTACTGATATCTGGGAAGCCCTCTCTTTTTTTGAGAAGGTAACAAGTTTTATAAATTAAGTAGAGAAACCTTTAGCATAAAGATTATGCTAAAGGTTAAAGATAGTTACAAGACCCTTGAAAAAGAGCAAAAACGCAAACCCGGACTTGTGGTAGTTACAAAGACCCAATAATATCCACTATAGACTCTACATTCTCTACCAGAGCTTCTTTACACCAAAAGTGAAACAAAAATATACAATTCGTCTTGATCTTCTGTTCAGAGTTAGCTCTATCTTCAAAGCATCTTGAATTTCTCTCCAACCAAATTGTCCACCAAATACATGCTGGGATCAACCTCCACCAATGCTTCTGCCTCAGTAGAATACCTGGGTCATTCCAACAAGCTAACATTTCTGCAGTTGTCCTAGGTATTGCCCATTTCACACCTTTCATACTCATGAAAAGATACCACAGCCTACTAGTTACTTTGCAATGTAAAAAGAGGTGGCTGTTTGTTTCAATCTCTTTTCCACACAAGAAACATTTGGAACACATAAGCATTCCTCTCCTCATTAAACTGTCATGAGTTAAAACAGCCTCTTTGACTACAAGCCAACAAAAGCAAGCCACTTTAAAAGGGATTTTCACCTTCCAGATGTGAAAGCCCTCTCTTTTCCAATATGAAAGTGATATTGTACAGCATCAACATTGATCGAACTGGAGTATGCCTGCATGACGCATCCAAGAAAATTTGAAAGATTAACTACGTTGAACAGGATGTAAAATAACCTTTTACACATTAAGATTTTTGGAAGAAGAGGTTTTATAGGTCTATTGGGGCTTTAAGCACGAAGCGCAAACAAACATGGCTTTAGCGAAGAATGGGTTAAAGCCATAAGCAAACTATGTTTTTTGAATGTTATATATCATTGGTAATTTTCTTGTCTATCTTTGATAGCATGACTAAAATGGTTAGTTGTTGGTAAATAGTGTCTTTTTTGGTACATTTCCGTAAGATTCCCATTTTACATAATAGATATCTAATTTTGTGTTCCTAATCACCCAAGAAAAGCCATCATTCATAATGTTTTGTTAACAATTAGTAAAATGTGCAATAAAATGTTTTTCAAGAAATAACTCTTCACAACTATCTCAACTCTTAACTTGATATCATTGCTCTTACTGACATTTAGATATTATTTTAAATTTTAATGCTAAAAAATTTCATAAAAGTACTATCCGGTTTGCTAACATTACAATCACCAACCGAACACTAGAACATTATCATTTGTCTGAAATGGCTTATTTTTAGGAAAATGTCTTCCGTACTAAATGCTACTTCTCATTTTCTTAAGAAATCCATTATAAAAAGCATAGACAAGCAAGGTGACTTAAGTTTAACCAAATTCATTGATAAGATTAGAAGACGCAGGTCTAATCTTTTTATGGAAATATAAATAAATAATCCTTTTCTCAACGTGGAGAATATTCAAGTTATTGTACTATCGGGGAAGATGCACAGCCAATATTCGTACCTTGGTAAGTAGTATGCTAAGTCCCTTTGTTGTTGGCTATTGAAGCCTATTTCTACCTTATCTGCACCCTTTCTTGTTGGCTATTGAAGTCTATTTCTACCTTGTCTGCACCCTGAATTGATTATTTTTATGTTTTTCTTGCCTCTAATATATTCTGTTCCCAATTAAGGATACGATTGGAAGGTACTATTGTGTTGGTCTCAAGCGTGCAAATGAGATAATTGGGACCACTACGGAAGAGCTTGTCCTCAAAGCAAAGCAGGGTGCCACTTCTCCATGATGTTATGTGTCAGATGATTAGCTTCTTATCTTTGTTTCTCTTCTTTTATACTTGTAAGAAAAATTTGGAAACGACACAAGGGGTGTTGGCATGCATATTTTATTCATTACAAATCTTGGATGTTGCTACAGTTTCTTGGGTATTCTATGTCATATTCTTTGTCGAAGGAGTGAAGTAATGTGGAAGCTCGTGGTATAGAATTCACGGTGCATATGTCCTGGCTTCAGGCCTAGAAGTCCTTGTGGTGCTTTTGTAAATGGGAGATGTTGGATTAGGGGGCATCAGTTAGCGAGCCAGGTGACTTGGAAGGTGTTCTCATGGGCGTTTTTTGGGGCATGCCCATTCAAGGTGGTCCTAAAACTTGACTGCTACCCAACTGGTAGGACGTCTCCCCAGGTTCACCTAGTGTCTCAGGGGCAGATGTGCGCCCAGCCCTCGTGACTGGTGAGGTAGAAAGCTTGGGTTACTAACAAACTGAACAAAATTCCAAGCACCCACTGTACTGAGGCGTGGCTTCAGAAGCAGATGTGCATCCAGAACTTGATTTACTAACAAAATAAATATATAGATAACAAATCAAGAGTTAATAAATTGAAGGTATCTCAATTAAGCAACGTCAAAAGTTAAGGCACTGCAATATCCAAGATGCAAGCGATAGCTTAAGTCTGGCGAAGATTGAGGAGGAATACGACGTGAGTGATTGGTGAAGAAAAGGAGAGCTGGAGCAAAGACCAGAGGATAGACACAAGCACTGTTCGTTTATCACGAAAAATCTTGCCCACTCCTAATATGTGTGCATCAAGTTTAATAAACAGACTTTAAAGGGAGAATAGCATGAACTTTTGCTAGGAATTGAGTTTTATGAAGTTATTTTTCACTTTTTTACCACTGATGAGAATATCACCGCTTACGTTTTATGAAGTTATTTTTCACATTTCTTTTATTATTATTATTTCTTTATCTAACGTGTGTACAAAAATACATGCTAACTATAACCACGGTTATATGATAAAGTTTATACGAACATCATGCAAGTGAGATATTAGCTAAACATTTGAAGAGAGAAGTGATGCAGACAGCAAACGAGCCTTCTCTACTCTTCGGCTATCGAATTGTTGGAAACTGAAACTACTATGATAAAAAGCTCTTCCTCTTTTTTCCCTTTTTTCCTACCCTACCATATAAAGTTATAAACTACCCAACTTGGATAGTCTCACTTCTTCTGCCTCCCCTTCTCCTCGCAGTGGATCTAGATTCATATACTACTTGCTCAAAGCTGGCATTCAAGTTATCACCTTAATCCTTATGAAATACTATGAATTTAGCTCAAAGGGCAGGGCTTGCTCGTCCGCG